GCCTCCCTAACCTGTTCTTCCTCCCACCTATCCCCTCCTCCCACCTCAAGCCGCACCTCCATCTCCTACCGACCAACCTCATCCTGCCCCCTTGACCTGTCCGTCCTCCCCGGACTGACCTATCCCCTCCCTAACTCCCCACCTACACTCACCTTTACTGGCTCCATCCCCGCCTCTTCGACCTGTTTGTTTCCTCTCCACCTATCCTCTCCTCTATCCCTCTTCTATCCGCCTCCCACTCTCTCCCTATTTATTTCAGAACCTCCTTCCCCTCCCCCTTTTCTGGTGAAGGGTCTAGGCCCGAAACGTCAGCCTCTCTGCTCCTATGATGCTGCTTGGCCTGCTGTGTTCATCCAGCCCTGCACCTTGTTGTCTTGGATTCTCCAGCATCTGCAGTTCCTACTATCTCCAGCTCAGTGTGAACATTGTCTTTCATATGGGTGTGTATCGTGTACAGGCCCATGGTGATGGCATAGAATCCCTACAGTGTGGAAACAGGCCATCAGGCCCTCTGAAGACCATCCCACCCAGACCCACCCCTACCATCTTCCTGTAGCCCTGCATTTCCCATGGTTAATCCACCTAGTCTGCACATCTTTGGACTGGGAGGAAGCTGCAGCACAGCTTCAGAGACACGGGGAGAATGTGCAAACTACACACAGACAGTCACCCAAGGAAGGAATCAAACCCAAGTCTCTGGCACTGTGAGGCAGCAGTGCTAACCACTGAGCCACCATGCCACCCAGCAATCCCCACTCTTTCTAGTCCTTCTCAATGTTAAAGAAAGAATGTGCATTTATGTAGCCCCTTTCATAACTACAGGACATCCCAAATTGCGTTATACATAAGGAGTGTCATTCCAGTTTCCATGTAGGAAGAGCGAGCAGTTTATGCACAGCAAGATACCACACACTGCGATACAATAATGAACAGGTTATGTGTTTGTGGGCCACCTGGATATAGAGATCATTAAAGCTGGTTGCAATTTTGTCCTCAAACTGATCTGTGTACACACAGTCCCTTGTAGTCACGGGATAATGATCAGGAATGGGAAGTGTGTTCCTTCACTCTTCTCTATCAACTATTTGAATGAAATCAGTCCTGGCTGAAGAGATGCACCAAACAGAACAGCCCTAGAAATTACGGGGGAACGAACGTTGTGCCTTTGTTGTGCGGGTAGTAAAATGAAAGCTATCCTGAAGTCTGTCGGTGTGGAATGAACTCTGTGTTGAAGAGAGTAACCGAATGAATTTATTTTTCGTCCTCCTTCCTGTTAATCCAAGACCGACAGGAAGATTGATTGACTTGAATACTGAGGTGTTTTGTTGACATGTTGCTTGCAGGTCCAGCCCTGATGAAGGCAAGCTGATCTTCTGCAGTGGCATCGTCCTCCACCGTCAGCAATGTGTGCGTGGTTTTGGTGAATGGATTGACTCCATCATCGACTTCTCCGGCACCCTGCAGCGGATGAAGATCGATGTGTCCAGCTTTGCCTGCCTTGCGGCGTTGGTTGTCATAACAGGTGAGCTTGTCCTTTAGGTCAGACCTCCACTGCCTTTACCAGTGGGGCCCCCTTGTAAATGTGCTGCCCCTCATCCTGTGCAAGCTGCCATCCAGAAATGTTTTCCCTGCCTCTTCTCCCTTTAAAGGGGCATCATAGTCAAGGGTCTCTGGCTTTCGACCCAAATATATCCTTCATCTTGAGCAAGAGCAATAGGTGCACCATAATTCGACCTCTCCGCTCAGCATGCCCCTCCCCTGGCTCCCTGTCCTTGCAAACATCATTCCCCCTCTCTCCCGATGCCGATGGAAATGCACAG